GTGTGTGTGTGTGTGTGTGTGTGTGTGTGTGTGTGTGTGTGTGTGTGCAAGCTCATACACATCCAATCTTTAATTTTGATCACACTCGACAGGCAGGATGATTTCCCCTCCACCTCTTAAATTACAGAAGCTGATGTCTTGTCATGTTTGTTCGTTACTGAGTGAGGAGAAGGGAAAACAAGAGGAAAATGGTATTGATTTGTGTTTCAGCTCGAGTCTGATGCATTTGACCCGATGCACGCTTTAATACATTCAGAGAGACCTTGTCATCGATCACGACAGCTGTGAGATGAACACACCAACGCGACCGATGTTCCGTTGTGTTTGTTTGTGCTCTCCCCTTCCCTACTGCTCAGTCCATAAGTAAACATTAAAATCAATAGACAATCTTAAAGTGCAGAGTAAATTGTAGGAAATGAATGATACTTTTCTCTCAATTGAAAACGCGACAGGAGTCGCAGGGTGGGAGATTAGAGCAGGCCTTGGTAGATTCCCGCCGACAGGGAGAGGGGCACGTCTCCCCACCAATCTTTGATCTATAAAGAAAGTGACAGATGCCAGTGGCAACGTTTGCTCCCTAAGCCCTGAAGTCTCAGTCTATTCATGTCTCTGGATGATTTGCCCTTGAAGAATTTTTGAAGCAGGTAGCGAGTTTATCTGATTACAGATGAAAAGCTTCCATTCCCGAACTGAGCCAGGCCAAGACACCAGCTAGACAGCCAGACAGTCAGTCGCCATCACCTCTTCACTCCCAGCAAATAGACGGGGACGAGAGGCAATACTGAAATTCATTACTGTTCACTTCTGTCTGTCTTGTCAATTCAAGATTGTGTAACTGCCCGTGGTCAACTTTAAGACACATTGACATTGTGTTGATGAAGCACATTTATGCCTCCAGATGCAATGCACCATTTGTTTTGTCAATTGTGAAATTACTTTTTTATCTTTTTTGCACAAAAGGTAGAAAGTAGAGGGGAAAAAGTGTCACTTTTAAAAAACTTTGAAATAATTATCAATTGAGTGTGCTGGTGGTTTCACTTGTGCATCCACTCGCACATCTTGTGTTTGGTTACAGCACAGACTAGTGGACAAAAGGAATAACTGTGAGAACCTCTTGACAGCCATTGTTTGGAAGTTGTATGATTTAGAGCAATTTTGATCATCAATTAATTGTTGAAGTCCGTCTAGATGCCAAACATTCTTTGGTTACAGCGTCTCCAATGTATGGATTTGCTGCTTACCTGTAATTAATATCTTTGTTTCCTGGAGTGACCACACATAAGTACCATACAGAGAAATACTTCTAAATGCATATATTCCTGGATTTCTACTACATTTATATGAATTAATAATTATTTCTGTGTTCATCAGAAATATATTTGTGAATCTTATTGTTTTTCTGTGTAAAATTCTGTTTACACACATATTACATTACATTACAGTCATTTAGCAGCCGCTTTCATCCAAAGCAACATACAATTCAGACGCTATCACACCGTAGTCACAGCTACGGGAGCAATTTTGGGGTTAAGTGTCTTGCTCAAGGACACATCGACATGCGACTAGCATGTAATAAAAAGTAGTACTATGGCATAAAAATGTCATGAAAACAGGCATTGTATAGTCTATTATAATTAAGTCATTAGAAGACATAGTATAGTATATTGTAAAGTCAGCATATATCATGTAAATAAATTCATACAAAAGTCATAGTTTAGGAAGTAATCTTAAACTGGACCTCGTTGAAATATAATTGAATACCTGTAGTAAAGTATTGAAATAGTACTCAAAAAGTACATGAAGCAAGGTGAAAAAAGTCATAGTACAGCATGTTGAAAATATATGTGATGTATGATCACAATATCAATACAAAGCTATATGTCAACCTAAATTGATGTAGGTCTACATGGCTAACTCAGTTAATTAAGTTTATGGGTTTTTACTGTGTAATTATTTGTTTTACCGCTCAGGCTCCAGCCCAGTCCATCGTACTGCGAGCAGATCCACAGCAGAGTTGAGAGGATTCTGCAGACACACAAATCCACCTGGGACAACCAAGTGACCGTGGACCTTTAACTTCCTGATCGGCTGACTCTTCATATAATTGTATCAGTCAGTGAGTCAAAACATCTCACACAGACACAGGTGTAGCTTCATTTATCTCCCTTTGGCGTTCATTTAAAATGCAAACCTTCCCAGCACCTGCTGCGCTGCGCTTGTCGTCGTTTCTCTGAAAAGGAAATCAATTTGTAGCACAGCAGCACTGCTTCCCTCCCACCCATCAGCGGTTTGTTTTTTATTTATTTAAACGTTCCAATGGTAAAACCAAACGGAGATGTTGTCTAAATTCTCTAAAGCTGTGTGTGTGTGTGTGTGTGTGTGTGTGTGTGTGTGTGTGTGTGAGAGAGAGAGAAAAACAGGAGACATGGTGGATGTACAGTATGCTGCAGCTGTTCAGGGCTCGGCTCTCAACACAAAAGAGCGACAAGAAGGTCACAAAGAGCCAGCAGCTACGAGAGACTGAAGAGCTTTAAGAGGAACAGTTTTTGAAGAAGTTTACCAACCCTGCCTTTATATGAATTAACTATTAAAGTAACATCTGAATGTGCCAAACCAATTGGGACAAATGTCATCCTCTGCTTATGCTGCCTTCTCTTTGTGGGACCATTGCAGTCGTGTGCTGCTTATGTCAGCTTCTTTAATATCGTGCTTTGTTTCAGGTTTTGTGATCATCTTTTTCAACGACATCTTCCTTTTTTCAGAATTAGAAAAACAGAGCTATATGTATTTGAAATGTTGTAACCTCAACATTTGGACTTAATATACAATTCTTTAGAAAATATCACCCGACACCAGTTTCTGATTTGATCATTAGTGATGAGATTTAATCCTACAAATCATGTTACAAGGCAGATTATTACGGTGCTAGTTGAATTAAAAGGAAACCTTTACAAACAAAGGCCGTCAAAAGATAAGTATTTTAATGTTCATGATGCATGCATATCTAGAAAGTCTATGATTAATGTGCAGCAACATTTATTGGAATATTTGTTCCATTAGATTAAAAAATGTTTCAGTTGTAAATGTAAGCATGTACACACTTTGTGGTAACTGTACAGAGCACTGACTATTTCTAACAGGAACACCAGCCCACCTCCTGCAGTTGATTGTATCAGTATTTATGAAAAGTCCCTCAGTCAGTGTTCATCACATCAAGTATTTACTTCTTATGGAATTTACTCTTCTTGCTCCTCTTGCCAGCTCCTTGTGCCGCTCTTTCCGTCACAATGTGCTGGTACTTCTTTTTGTTGTTGCTGGAAAGACGAGAGGAAAGTACATTTTATGTTTGCAATAATGGAATACATCTACACACTCCTGACTAAATACTAGAGAGCAAACTGACACCAATGTGCTCACACAGGTTAGCAAGAGCTGCTGTGGTGCTGCAATGTATTCTGGGAGCTGACATTTTTAAGTTAACGATGGTTACAAACTGTATTTTGATATCCTTCATTAATATTGTGTTGTAATAGATTTGAAATATGTGACGGCAGACACTGGAGCATCGCTGACACAGTATTAGGTCACAGCATCAGTCTATTTCATAGTTGAATCATGTGACATAATAAAGCCACGTCCAGAAAGATGGTTGTTTGTTTTCATTTCAACTTACTGTCTGAACTCGGCATCAGATAGCAGCTCCTCCACCATCGTCCTCTTCCTCGCCCTCTTGGGAACACGGGAATGATAGAAGTCGACTGGGTTGTCCACCACCGTACCAACCTGTATCACACACACACACACAAGTAATGCAATACATGAAATCGAAAAAAAGAAGACTTAATCAGATTACCGATGGGATAAATTTAGTAAAAAAATGGGGATTATTAGTTACAATTTTAAAAGCGATAAAATAAAGAACGATATTCTACCATGCACGTGTGCACACTTTAAAACAAGTGTCACACAATGGCCTCTACACCGGTACAAACATTCTTTAACTAGGTGGAAATTTCCCCATAATTTTGTATGTAAAGCAGAAAGGGAAACATCACAGGACAGTGCAACCGCACAGCAGGACAGTCTGCTGCTATCTAGTCCAGAGTTTATTCTTTTTGCAGAGGCAGTGCAGTGTGAAAAGATGCTTCGTAGGAAATGAGCGAGCCGCTTAAATTTCTGGTCCAGCAAGCGTAACACAGGACAAACCGGGAATTCAATTTATATTAGTATTGCTGCTGCTCCTAGTTGAAATCCAGCTAAATTCATAATTCTGAACTACAGACCCTATTAGTGAACCCCTTAACTATGAAAATGACAAAGTCATGACCATGTTTCCAAAGAAAACAAATATAAACATTGCCTTGTTCTTGAGGAGGGATTCTGAGGGGCAAGAGATTTGTTTTCTACCAACCTGAAAGTATTTGGGAAAGCCATCTCTGTCGTTCTTCTTGTAGAACCTCTTGGGGTCCATGGAGCCTCTCATCTTCAGGACTTGGAGGTCACCTTTCAGCTCCTGTGTGATCTCCGGGGCTTTCATATTAAACCAACCATCTCCTGTTGATTTCGCCCTCTCCGTCTGGGAAAAACAGCGATCTCAATTATTTGGAGAAGCCTTTGAAGCAAAGAATTACAATAAAAACATCTGCTCTACTGTATTTATGATTTGGTGATTTGGGGCAAGACGTTTCATCATAACTGATTCCACAAACATGATCCAAGTGATAAAACTAGCAGATTGAAGCACAGATAATCTATCATGCAAAGCATGTGAACTTACTCTGTTTTTCAACTTTACGGCTCGTTTGGATTCACTGTACGGCGGCACTGCATCCTTCTTCTCAAACTCTGGTCCTATCACACTCTTCTTCATCACCTGTGGACAGCAACAACAAAAAAAGTGTTATTGGATTTACTCGTGCTTGCATAACTATAAAGTTCATTATTCATTCTGCATCACAGATCACCTTCAAAAATCAATTACTTATTTACCTCATCTTGGATCTTCTTTTCCTTTAGTTTTCGTAGTGAAGTGGAGACGGGTTTTGATTTGCTGCCATCAAAATTGATGTATAAGCCCCCGAGCTCCTTCACTCTGAAGCCAGGGTCAATACGGCTGGACATCCCTTTCCTGGAACAAATAAGCAGAAAGAAACTTCCTCAGGAGGAGCAGTCGTGTCTCATTTCTCACCTCAGCACAGTTATACAGTGAAAACTGCTTATAGTGCTGACGTCTGTCCGGGGTCCTCCACATGTACAATAATAATTAGTACACGTGTGTTCCTAAGTGAATGAACCAATCAATGGCAGCCACCTTTCATATACTTACAACTGAGGATTTCTACTCGAGAAAAGGAATTCTGCATCTTCGTCATCATCATCCCCCTCCTCATCAACAAACTCCTCATCTTGCTCCTCCTGCTCCACTTTGTCCTCCTTTGTGGCCTTCTCCTGCTCCTCGGTTGGCCTTTCCTTGTAGTACTGTTCATCAGCCTCCTGTCCGGGCCGTGTGTCGATCATAAACAGTCCCTCAACGGATGCAGCTGCTGCTTCACACTTCTGGGAAGGTCCTGCTCTCTCCTCTGCCGGGAACTCATCTTCCTCCACCTCTCCAGAAACTTCCCTCTCCTCATCTTCATCCTCGCTGCTCTCCAGCAGGCTGATGATTTTTGTGTTCTGGACGATGACATCTTTAGGTTGCTGTTCAGGGTCAGAATCCACTGTGATACTCTGCTGCTGGCTGGATGTCACCTGAATGGACTCAACTTGGACCTCATTGGAGTCGACCACCTGCTGGGCATCTATATTCAATGTGCTGACTTCCATTTTCTCCTCCTCACTGGGCCCGGTTTCCACAGCAGCATCCTCATCTCCCTGTGGTGCGTGGGCGTCCACATGAGCCACTTCCATAGCTTCATCCTTCTCTTCAGTCTCCTCTGTGATTTCAGATGCACTTTCACACGATGTCGCTGTAGCTGATTGCTGAGGCTTTAACGGCTCTGATGGCTGGATTGTTTCCTGCATCACCGTCTTCTCTGAGGCGTCCCCGTCCGTATTTTCAGCACGCGGCTCCTCCTGCTGGTGTCTGTCAGTCACTGCAGGTGTAATTACAGCTTCCTCAGCACAAGCAGGACTGTCTGATATCTTGAGAGACCAACTGGGGGAGTCTTCTTCTGAAATGACAACTACTCCCTTTTCCACACTCATTGTGTCTGCCTCAGTTGGTGTGAGATCAGTACGATCCACGCCTTCTTTCTCTTTCTCTTTCTCTTCCAATGGTTGGTTCTCATCTCCTTCCAACAGTGTGCAGTCCGCGTCCGCAAGGATCACTGTTCTTTCTAACATGGAATCATTGATTGAAGTGTCCTCCATAGTTTTTTCCAAAACAATACTACAGTCCTTGATTGAGCTCCTGGCGGCCCGAGCACTCCGACTGCTGCTCCCCGAGCCTGTGCGGCTGCTGCAGGGAGTCTCTTTGCTTCGTGTGGTGCAGGGGCTGCCCATCTGGGAATGCCCGTCAGCCGGCTCAGAGTCTGAGTCCAGGGCTTTGGGACAGGCTGGTCGGGTCTTCCCCCATCTACGAGTCGTCATACTGTAAGTGGGCCCGGACTCAAACCCTTCAGAGTCGCAGGACTGGGGCTCACTGACGTCTACAGCAGCTGCCGCGCTCCCTTTGGCTGCCCGGCTCATTCGAGCCCTCGGGGCGGGGGATTGAGAGCCTTCCGAGGTTTCGTCTAGGTGGAGGGGGATCGGACCGGTTTGCCTTCTGGATCTCGTAGCTCTGCGGGTGGTGGAGACGCTGGACACGTAGCTGTCAGCATCTGAGAGCTCCGAGTCTTCAGTTTGTTGTTTGGCAGATGATCTGGGGCCAGCAGTTTTTCTCTGACTTCTGGCGACTCTCTGGGATTTGGACACCGATTCGACCTTGACGTCTCCCACCTCAGCTGGCACGGGGCTTTTTGGAATCGTCTTCCTCCTTGTGCTCCGGCGGACACTTTGGCTAGCTTTCGATGCAGACACTGCAGAAGAGCACGATTCCACCTCAGATATCTCATCATCTTCCCGAAGTACTATGCGGTGCGTTCTTCTGTTCCCTCTGGTCATTGGTAGTTCGCCATCAACCATCGGAGAGCACCAGGAGTCCGCCTCAGGTATCTCATCATCTTCCCGAAGTACTATGCGTTGCGTTCTCCTGTTCCCTCTGGTCATTGGTAGTTCGCCATCAACCATCGGAGAGCACCAGGAGTCCACCTCAGGTATCTCATCATCTTCCCGAAGTACTATGACATTGCTCCCTCTGGTGCGTGTTGTTGGTAGTTTGGCGTCAAACACCGCAGAGCAGCAGGAGTCTTCCTGATCCGCTTCGTGGACGGAGCCCACAGGTGTGCATGACTGCTCTGGACTGTGGAGTCTGGAAGCTCTGGTGCATCTTTTCAGCAGCGAGGTAGGAGGAGACGCTTGGAGTTGTCCCTCGCTTTTTTCCAGCTGGCTGCTGGTCTCCACCAGGGCACTTTGGGTCGGGGGCTCTGCTTGTTTAGCAGTGCCCCTGGTTCTCCGACCAAGTGAAGGAGTGGCCTGTTTGAAAGAAAAAAGACAATATTTAGTTGTACAGCTGATTCTATAACAAGCTTTACCCAAAAGGATGAGGTAGGTGTTGAGATTGTCAACAAATTCCACACAAAAAAAAGACCAAAGCCAACAATGTGTCACTCTCTCAAGTCTTTCTGGCTTCAACAGCCGTCTGTGGCTTCATTTCTACTGGAGATATTATCTAAAAATGAGTCACAAACGCATAGCTTCATATTGAAAAGGAAAAATATCTAAGAACTGTATTTGTTCTTCAAACGTTACTCAGACGGGAGTAAGTAGTGTGTTCGTTGGGGACTTTGAAGCACACATTTGGTGCTCTTGTCTAGTATTTAGGGCAGCAGGACGGTGGGTTTGGGATTGACCAGAAGTAAAATACAGTCACTGTTAATGAAGGAATAAAGTCACCCAGTGAAAATAAGGACCGGTTTGTGTTTTTTCTACTTCATCTATCATTGACGAGTAGGATCTTTGAATCAATTTTAAACCACTCTTATTGACAGTTTAAGTAGGTTAAAGGTTTAACTTGTGTAAAAAATGTTATCTGTAGTATGTGATTTATACTGAATATAGAGACCGTAACAGTGGATTAAAATAAAACGTGTCAAATTGATTCAGTTTCTTTAAATTAATCTTTAATTCAATATCATTCAAAGCTGCATTGATGTTGGGCGACACACACACACACACCATCGAGTTTAGTCCGTCACGTTACGGGATCGTTGTATCTATCAATATTTTCAGTTTTCTCTACTTGTTTCACAACATCGAAACGTTTACAAACTTCGATAGAAAGATGGTGTCCACGTGAAGTTTTGAGCAGCTGCACATTCACGAGCTAACAGACACGTGCCGGGCTCCCTTCTCCTCGAACTAAACCTTAACGTGGTCTCTGAACCAGTAGCAGGTTTAACTAACGTGTCTCTGTCGTACGTACCGGGACATCAGAGGACTGCTCGGGGTTTGTTTTAGTTGGAGAGCACACGCGTACTCCTCTCCTGGTGGCCACCATCTTGCATGCTGCTAGCAAGCTCGCTAGCTCCTCACACTTCCGGTTTGAGAGCTGGACTCGACTAATCGATAAACGGAAATAAGATACAGGCCAAGCAGACGATCGCAGAGTCGTGACTCATCTTCAAGTCCTGATAGTGGAAAAACTGTTCAGGTGATTTAAAGTAAAACTTCTCTAACGTTAGTTAATACATTGAGTACTGCGTTGAAAGTGTGCGATAAAAAAGTACGAATTGTTCTCAAAGGGCACTTTATATATGAAAAGTTCTCAATGCAGACAAACTGTGCGTTATCCTCATACATACTGTACTGCTCTATACTGTATTTTATTAGGTAACGCTGGTGTGTAACCTTTTTAATGTTAAAGTTGCTTGAGGTTGTAATTTTAACAGTTGTATCCACTTACATCATATTTTATAAGATCATCATATGCTTTGTATATAAATCTATAATCTATAAATATCGTTGTGAAACATTCTTTCAATTAACAAACATGGAAAATAATTTAAATAACTTACAGTATCAACAAAACATGTTTTACTGCATCTTAATGACTCAGCAGAGTTTAGGTAGCACTTTCAACAAAGTTGGAAGTTCCCTTCGTTAATTTAGCTCTTTTCTTTGTAACACCAAAATCTTGATTGTATTATCGAAAAATAATAAAATACACCACACTAGCCCGAGTTCATTCCATCTTTTAAATATTTTACACTAGTGTTGATGGTAAAACATAACTTTCGTGATTTTAATAAAGCCAATTCATGATATACAGATATATGACATTAAATATGTTTACAGTACAGATAATTTGTCTTCATGAAATTAACTGGATCGGGTCTGGAAAAACAACCGTGATTCTTATATAAAAACATCTTCCTCAGAGTTATCAGATTTTAACATCTCCTTGGCACGGAGTTTCCAGTGCTAACAACGATGCATATAGAGGACAAGCGCCTGCTTCGCATGTCAATCTCAAAATATTGCTGTACATTCTATCCTCAAATTAATCTCATGAGCACAGTAGTGGGTCAACATGGTCCGAAAAAAAAGGCCCGATAAAATACAGTTGTATATACTTACATAGTTGTTTTCTTCACCAATTACAATCAGCATCATAAAATAAACATCTTTGATTTAAATTTGCACATATTTTTTTCTCAATTTAGGAATGCAAATACAGCAGGAAAAATCCAATTGCAACAACAAATGTTTTTTCTGATATTTTTCCATATACAGCTTCAAATTTTTTTCAATCATTCTGTACTAAAAACAAATCTCTTCCTTTGACTTTTCATTCAGACCAATATATTTAAAGCTTGATTCACACAGACACAGTGGAGACAAAGCAGGTATGAGGACAGGAGGAGAGAAGGATGAGAGGCACTTCAAGTCAGATCAAGGTTAAGGAACCCTTGACCTTGGATCAAAGTTTAGCAACCGCCATTTTCTATCATTAAAGCAGCCTCTATTGTGTTGATAAATGGCTGATCTGTCAATGTACTATTCATCTGTGAAACTCTCACTTCCACAGTCTATTCTCTTAAAAACCGAATCTTGAGTTAATATTGCATGTTCATCTCCCATTTATGATCTCATTGAGACGACGCTAATGAACACCTGCATCAGTTAAAATGAAGAAATGGTACACGATGACTTCCAGACTCATGGTGAATGGCAGCATCCATTATTCAGAGCCATTACTTTGCATGTTGTGTGTATGCGTATGTCAACGAAAAGAGGAAAATGGCTTCATCCATGCGTCTTCCCTAGTGGGTTGCGCTAGGGGCTCGCCTTCCTCGCACTGACAAGGTAGCCCTTAGCCTTGATAATGCCCCGGCTCTTCACAATAATGGAGTAGCGAAGGACCCACTCCAGCCTCCAGTCAGCAATGTTCAGGTCCTGCGTTCCCTCCTGCACCGCCTCCTGGAATGTGGCTGCTGACATCAACTCTGTGGAAACATGGAACCAAAAGAAGAGACGTTCAAAACTCATGAAAAAAAATGACAGGTGAACTGTGTAAACATGAGACTCACTGATACTGCTGTTGACCCAAACTACAACTTTATCTGTAAGTATTTTATTGTCGATAAATCCCATGAAACGACCAAAAATGAACAATGTCTCTGTACACTTTCCTCCCTTCTCTGTGGCTATCAGGACAAAGCCCAATCATTTCTCCTAAAGATATAAATCTATTTTGTGGGACCATTTTCAGCCGTGCATTACTACACATTTGGTGTTGTAGTAATTCCGCCAGCAGGACAGTGTATGTGGGACTGACTGAAAATAAACTACACTACCCATATTCACGATAATGTTGAAACAAGTCTCTCAGTGCAATGAAGCACATTTGTGATATTGGGCTATATAAATATGATTGACTTGGTATATCTGGCTTTTTCTACACAGAAACAGTTTGTTTTGGTCTTTTGACGGGATTTGTTGCCAATTAGAAACATATAGAATATCAAATAGCTTACCCCTTTAATGTTCAACTAAGCACTGAAAAAACTGTTTTGCATTCAGAAACTTTACTACAAACCCATCTGACTGACAGAAAAACATTTTAATTGAATTTCTGAACCTTTGGGATCGTTGTGTGTGAGCAGCTGGATGTCAAACTCTTTGGCAAAGGCTGTCAGGTCCGGAGGCATCACACAGCAGGAGGCCAAGTTGAACTGGTTGCTGCTGGGCTTCACCTGTACAAGAGAGGGCATGTAGTCAACGACTGGCTTCATTTGGTTGAACATAGGAAATGGCGCACAGTGGCCAAAGTTCATAATAGAAAAACACATTACTGCTTTCACATTTTGTAATCTATGAATCCAGCGTATTATAAAATGTCAACAACCATTTAATGAATAAAGCCCCATTTTCATTTCTGAAACTAATTAAGGTTCACACACACACACACACACAAGATTTCCACTAACCTGAGCCCAGTTGTAGAGCTGCTCCAGCAAGTCTTTGTCTAGGTCAGAGGTGCCAATAGCAGCAATCTGCTGGCTTCTGACCAGAGCCTCCAGCTCCTCCCAAGCTGGCTGAAGGTGGGCCAGACTTTGGCTGTCACTGTCCAAGGGCCACGGTGGCGCTATGATAACAGAGTCAAGCTGGGACACTGCCAGCGCCTGGCAGACTAGGGATGAGTGACAGACAAGGCCGTAACACAAGTAGAGCTAAGTGTCCTAAAAAAATGTGTGTAGTTGTGTAGTCTTTAAGATACATAAAGATTCAGCTGAAGAGATTTAACGCTCACCCATCTCCACTGCATCTCTGATGGAGGATTGAACCGACTCGCACAGGAACAGCTTGACTGTGAAAACAAGCAGTTAAATTAAAAACAAAAACTCTACATCTAACCTACTAGTATAGTACAGTACTTGAGTAAATGTACTTAGATATATTCCATCACTGCTAAAACCAGAGGACAACATTGTTTACAAGAGCACAAAGTTCTTCATAGATCTAGCCTCTAAATGTTCCTCTCAAAGTGCACCAGATTGATGCATTTAACTTTAAAATGTACAACATTTCCCCCTCTAAAGGGTCTGACGTTCACCCAACAGTCTCATAAAATGCTGTGGCAAACACTCCAGTACTGACCTGAGACCCTCAGTTCATCCCTCTCTTCAGGCGTAATAGCATCAGTTGCCTGGGGAATGGAGCAGTCCAGTGTGTCTGGGAAATCCTGCAAGACGAGCACTTCATTTAGAGACTGTGTTGTGACTACAACACATTTTAGACCTGAAAAACCTTCATCGGTCTCTTAAAATATTGGCTTTTAATCATTGAACAAATGACAGGACAGACAGAAACCTCACAGAGTTCCCTGTGGGGATTTCTTGTAAACAAACTATAAAGTTATGTTTACATTCAGTGTTACTCACTAATGAGCATTGTGTAAAGCCTTGATGTCGAACAAATGTGATGAATGCATTTCCTTCCTCAGAAATGTTTTTGGAAAGCTGATTTTTCTAAAAGGTTTGGAACCTGAATAGTTTACAACTAGTCTTCTTCTTTCCTGCGTTTTCCAGCCATTGCTTCTTATCTTTGTGCATTACTGCCACCTGTTGACCAGTGGAAATGTGACACCATTAGCAGAACGTGTAACAACAGGAACCATCAGAAGAACGGCTCTGTTCAATGTCATTCAGACAAAAAGCAAATCTGATCTGGTCTGATTATTGTGTTTATGGTATATGAGGTTATCATTAGCATTGCTTGTTAAAAAAAAAAAAAAAAATGTACCCACACAAGAGAAAACAACATTTAAGTCTGATCTGTCATGAGAGGAATCTCCTCTAAATTGTCTCATTCAGTGTTTTATAGTCTACTAAACGCTATTTGTTTTGCTCAGAAGACTTAACAACAAGTGATACATTTAATACAGTACTCGTATGGACAAAGGTTGAATATGACGTGTCAGCACATCACACAATGAGACCTATTGTATTTAAAATTGACATGTTGAAGTGCATTGTTTAAAGAAGGTTAGCATAACACAGCCAGAACTTTGAAAAAATGTCAGATCTTTACAACATGGATCTGTTACACAGCATCAAAAAGCGTCAGAAGACAGCTCAGGGCCCCATCACTTAAACATCCCATTCTCTCCATGTCCCTGCAGGGGAAGTGTCTAATATGCTTTGTATTTACGATCCCCGAGTTCAACTCTTTCAAACTTCCCCCATCCCATTTGAGTCCTGTGGGCGGGGTGATAAAAGTTTCAGCAGATTAGCTGATCCAAGCAAAACAGCCAGAGCAGAGTTCAGCAGGAACACTACGTACGATCCTGCATCGTTTTAAATCTCCATTTCAGGTTTGTAGTTAGTTTGATGAACACAGGTGGTTGATGAATGCGTTCTGGAAATCCCATCACAGTTAATGAACAAAACCCCCATGGCAAAGTTTTTACCCCCCCACCCTCCCTTACAGACAGACGCACATTTGGAATGGCGCCTTTGGCAGGCAGCACTGCATGAACATTCATCATGACAGCTTCTTTTCAGCAAGGCTAGAGGCAACCTTTGATGTTCATCACTACAGTTGTTTTATTTTCCCAAGCACTGGAGCCTCCCTGGACAGTGTGGTAGCACATTGTGAAACTTATTCACATGCTGCTGGTCTGACCATAAGTGAAAACGACAATGCAAATACTAACATGCAAAAGAACTGGTATGGAAGAGCCAGAATTAGATGTATTACTAAACATCAAGAACCCAACAGAGCTACATCCAACACATTAGGATAACAGGAAACATCTCCCCCACCTTTGATGGCGGCATTGTTGTGGAAGACCAATCACTAAGCGTGGCTTGAATGCAGTCTTTAAGCTGAAATATGAAACAGAAAAACAATTGTTTATTCACATCTGTGAAACATGCATATTTTCAGGAAGGATCCCTGAAGCGGAGAAGCTTTTTATCCCTCAGCAGACCACCGCACAAACATCTGGACAGCTGTGACATGCTGCTGTGCCAAACTCGAGCTGCAGTGTGTTGTAAACAATGAAATCAGTTAGACAAAATATCCCAATGTCCCACATCGGCTTAAAGTGTGGGACAAAGACAGGAGACGAGTCAAGTTTAAGTGATGACGAATAATTTATTTCCAAAACATAATTACAAAAGGATAAGTATGGGGTGAGGAGGCCACCTGCATCATCAGTAGTGTAGGAAGAATATGGATGAGTGAGACATCTCGATGAGTGCGGAAGGCAATACTAAAATACAATACAAACCAAATAACTACAGTGAACAACGAGTCGATTAATGGATGAGTCAGTTATCTATATCTGATAATTGTCTGAGTCATTTATTAAGCAAATTGCCAAACATTCACTAGTTACATCTTTATTATGAGGATTTGCTGCGTTCCCCTGTGTTATATACATTTTATATATTTCAGTTTTAGATTGTTTGGACAAAATAAGCTAGTTGAAAACGTCAACTTAAAACAAAATTGTGATTGCAATTGTTCACCATTTCCTATAGTCTTTATTATTCTCTCTCTCTTTTTTTTTTTAATTGAATCAATGTGGAAAATAATATGTAGGTGCAGCACTAAATGTATGAATGACACGTGACCATATCAGTAGATTCTGAGTACTGGCTCAAACCAACACTTTCAATAAAGCACCTGTCTGCAGGTGTTGTGTAACTCGTTTGCTGCTCAGGCTCAACGTTTGTTTGATGTGAGCCGACTATAACAAACATCACATATGTTAAACATGCCTTCATCACATCAGTAAGACACACTAGACCCAAACTCTACTTTTACTTTATCTCAGACACAGTCCTGTAACTAGAGACCTCGACAGATACAATTTGAATGACTTATTTTTAAAACGTCCCTCTTTATGGACCTATACACGCTTTATTATCATCAGATAACACACTGGTATCGTTAGCCAGTTAAATGTTTAGCCAGGTAAAAAAAAAAAGAGGCTAAGCTAATAAGCTAAACTGTCACACGCAACACAACAAGCTAACTTACTGCCGTCGTTTTTAATTCAGACAGCTTTCCGGTGTCTTACCTCTTCGCTGGGAGAGGACGGACACTTCTTTTTCAGGCGACTTCGGTTGACTAAATTCCCGGTGTGCAGTCTGAGAGTCTTGGCGTGGGTCAGCAACATCTTCGCCTCACTGTTCATGTTTTGAGGGTCCATGTGGTTCTCGATCAGCGAGCTAACAAGTTGCTAATCAGTGTCTTGCTAGGATGAAAAGTGCGCGTTCACTCTGACACCAACCGCTACTGTAACTGCTGGTTCGCGAACAACAGCACAGCCCACACAACTGTTATAAAACTATGAAGTCAGGATGACTTGCATTCAGCGTGTTGCCTGACTTGCTGTCTGAGTGGTTGCCTAGAGGCTGTTATGGAAGCAAGCCGGTCGGTCACGCCCACACTCGAGGTGTCGGTGAATGTCCCGTAAAACCCGGTCAGAACGTCCATAACCAGTGGGCTACATCCATAACACGGAACTGGATCGATGGAATAGACTTTTTGTATCGGATGCAGTTCTCATGTCTGACCGCTAGATGGTGGTGTAGTGTTTCTAATAATCTTTCTCAAGCAGAGATAACAACATTTTATAACAACCTTGCGATGAATACTCAATTAGTGTACTAAAAAACAATTTGAAGCACCTGAACTTTATTTTAAAAATTGACATTTTCCACTATTTCTACTTTTCACACCACTGGCACTTTTGCCTCATAGGATTGACTTTAATCTGCTGCTCTATTTTTATTTCTATTTTAATTTTATATACCTCTTACTATTTATTTTTCTGTATTTCTGATGCAACAACCAAATTTCCCCTCTGAGGACAAATAAAGATTTATTTTCTTATCCTCTAATCCACAACACTCATGGAGCCATATTGTACTTTTTACTCCACTACATTTATTTTACAACTATACGATATTGCAGATTAAACCTATCATGAACATATAAACTACAATACATTTTCACAAGGTAATTTTGAATTTAACCACCATGATATTGTACATGAAAGTACATTACTGCTCATAACCCTGTACTTTTATTTGTATTTATAATGCAGTGTGTTTCTACTGTGGTTCTAGTGCTTAACTCAAATAAAGTATCTGAGTACTTCTTCCACCACTGTTGGCCATCCCTGTATACACCTTTGTATCATTGGTCTGGTGCTCATGGTGTGGGCTGCACTACTTTGTCCCAATTATCGTAAATCTTAATGTTACAGCACACAATTATATTTTAGATATCTTATATTTTTTATGTATGTATGTACTTATGTATAACATATAGATTTTGTGATTTATCAATTAACTTCTTCACAGATGATGGACTTTTTATTTTTAACAGTTTTGGTTTCAACATTACAATACTCTCGTGCACAAAGCCTAGTCGATACAGAAATAGATTTCCTAGTGTTTCCTTTGGGATTAACCGTCTGGAACGCAGACTGCATCCAGGCCTCATCGCCCAACATGAGTTGCTAACCTCACTGCCACTCTTGTGTCTGAATGGCAGAACACAAACTCCTTCAGAAAGCCTTCCCAGAGGAGTGGATGCTGTTATAGCAGCACATTAATGTCCTTGGCTTTTGAATGACATGTTTAACAATCACATAACGGTCTAATGTTCGTCTTTACACCTACTTCTAACCATAGAATGTACTTAACTTTAATCTGTAAAAATGTCTTTCAATATATTACAAATAGACCTGCAGTGGCTTACATCTGGTATTTGGTAGACACACAATCCAATGTAATTTACAACACAAGCCAAGAGAACAGTGACATTTGGAAGCAATCAAACTATCCCGGGGATGAGATGACTATGAGCGCAAGAGAAAGTAAACTTTATAAAGTCTGGCATTTTTCTTCGGAACACATTTATTTTCATACCTCACAAGGCACAGTCATACTGAGTGTAGAAAACACTCAGGTCACAACCTTTTTTTTTGCCAGGAATTTTGAGGGGGTTACATTTTACAACCGTAGAAAGCTAACACATGTTGGGCTTTTAGTGAGCTGTTCCAAAACTTTTTAGAGAAGAAATTATAGTAGAAATACAGAGCAGTTAAAAAATAAACAGGATATGAAAGATACAAAAAGTGAATACATTTTCTAAGAGGGCCAGGTGTTGTTTCACTGGGGTGGTTTGATAAAGGTTGTGTAAGTTTGAAGGGCTCCCACCACCCCTTTCTGCTTCTATTTTAACCACTGTAATACAAATATACTTGCACGTGCATTTGCATACAGTTACGATCACCCACATACTCACTTATTTTGAAATGAACTTGTAATGAAGCTTGAAAACAACATTCATCATACATATTCAGTACACGGGCCTCCTGACACCCCACTTCTCCTTCTCTCCGTGTTTATTTCTTTATCTTAAATGGTCATTACTCAGGAAAACGATTAATTTAGCAGCAACACAGTAAGCACATGTGCAGGTTTAATTTTATTGTGGTAATAAAGTGGTGCAGGAAAATAAGTGACCAAGAATTCCCCATAGTCATACACTAGATATGGATAACAATGCAAAGGGACATGAAGTACATATCATTATAGATTCAGCATAGGAATAAGATGTGATGCAGGGTGGGCCTGAACAATGGTTGCAGCTGTAAAAATAACTGATGGAGATAACCAATTGTACATGGGCCCAGTTCATCAGATTTGAATTAAGTGTAATAGATACACAATAAATCAACTTTGAATGGGATCCTACATCTGGAAAGCTTCAGTGGTGTGAGATTAGATCAGCCTTTGTGTGAGGAAGTATCCGTCCAGCTGCATTTGAGGGCACTGACATCTCTATCACGTGCAGAGGTATTACACACCTGACCGCCAAAACAATGAAGACATTTTAAAAGATATCATTAAAGCATTGCGTTAATATTTTGTACTGTATATATCCATCGCCACCAATGTGTCTCAAAGTGCTGAATGTGAGACCAAAGTGATGAAAACATCTTCAGCCTTTTGGGGTTATTCATTGTCTTCAGTGGGTTGCAATCACATCGAGGTACTTGGTATTGACGTGTGTGTGTGTGTGTGTGTGTGTGTGTTTGATGGTGTGTGGGTGGATGTGTGTGATCAAATTTCAGTTGCAAAACTTGGCGTGTTGTTGACATGTCAGAGTAGGTGTGGTAAAGGAGGGAGGGCATTTATCAAGTGTGCACTATATTAGAGAACAGAGCAACTACAAGCAGCACTGGACAAAAGGTTCTCATGCCAGCACATCCTGTGAAAGACTGAATGTGAGCAGGTACGTCTTTCTGCGCGCCTTTGAAACAACCTCAACCCTCGTGTCATTCTTGCTGCTTTTGTAATCCTGATTTTGTAAACATGTTGCTTTGTGTTCCAAGTGATGAGTTTAATAAGAGATAACTGCAGAGAGAAAATCCAGCCATAATTTATCACAAGCTCACTTGTTACGCTCGATAAAAACAGCTGCACACAGCTGGAAACCAGAAGAGGAATTGAACATTTTTAACGAGGGGGGTCAACGACATAACCTTTTTTTTTTCACAAGAGCTCAGAGGGGTTTGTGATGGAAAATATTATATCAGCAGCCAAAATGTGCTTGGCAAGGAGGGTGGGAATCTGTTCTTCTTTTTTTTGTTTAGCTCTGCTCTGGGATTTAATCTGTTTGTGTCTTTTCAGCGATCCACACAACAGCAGCCACAGCCATGAAGTCCCAAGCTCTTTTCTTTGTTCTGATCCTCTCATGCGTGCACCTGAGTCTTGCACAAGGTAAGTGGAACAAATCAGATTTGATTCACAACAGAACTATGAAATTATAATAGTAAATTTGATTAGTTTGCCAATATAACTGTGCTTTAAAAAAAGCTCAATACTGTGCAGGTAACTGTTTTAGCATTTTACACTGTAATTTAAAATGTAATTATATGGACCTAGCTCTGTGTATGACTGTGGAGAATATGTGGGGTCTCACTTTGACCAAATTCGGTTGAATTATGGCTGCAGCTGTATTTCATAATCCACATTCCTTTAGATTGTTACTAAATCCTCTCTTTCAACGATGTGAGTTATTCTGCTCACAACCTCTTACCACAACACTTCACTCCAAAGTGTAATCTGTCGAGGCTTGCTGTTATAGACTTCTTTCATGTGGTAATCTTATGACGAGTTTGAAAAATAGAAAAAAAACAGATTTTTATAAACATTTCCACCTCAGCAAAATACAGAACAACTGGACAATTATAGATTGTGGACATGTGTGCACATTGGAGTAAAACTGGCAGTTTCTTCATTGATGAATCTGAATTGAATTTGCCATTCCTCATTCTTCTACTTTTCAACATTCCTATTGCTGATTTATACTTTGTAGGTGATCATTGCAGCTCATGGCTGACTTTTCAGTAGCTTCATTACAGCTAAACATTTGAGGCATTACAAATTGAGGGAAAGAGCACGGTATGAAAAACTAAACTCTTGCCATTCCCCTCCCCCCAAAAAAAGTGAATTAAAGAAAACTATTTTGGAAATTACTGCACATTTATGTGAAAAAAATCATTGTAAAAATATGTTTCAGAAACAAGTTGTGTGTGTGTGTTAGTAAGATAACACACACAATAAATAACATGATTCACTTTGGCTATTTTTCAATGCTGAACCTAAGTTCCCAAAAATCTCTGGCACTTGCAGATGGGGTGATGGGAAATTCAGAGATGGTGTTGGTTTAGCCCCAGATAATTGCTTTTTGTGGTTTTCTTTGGTCGAAAAAATAATTTGATGACATACAATTGAATCAGTGATTTGTGAAAGCCATGATTAGTTTTGCTGTGTTAATATTGAATTAATAGTTCACAAATAACAAATATAAGAAAAAAAAACAGAATAAATAGTGCACCCTTTGGCACTTTTCATTCATAAGCGTTATAATAAAACAAACGTATAAATATAACCGCAACTTACCATTGTTACAATTGAGCTATATTGTTTCCTTCATGGACCCTAACTAGAGTGTACAAGTTGTGTGATGGCTTCATTTGAGTGTCATCTTTAAGTGAGGCAGTTTATCTCTAACCCTCTGTAACTTCACTCTCTCCAGGCTCGTATGGCAACTGCTGCCTCGGCTATCTTAAAGGGATGACAGGAAAAGTAAAGAGAAACATTGAAAGTTACAGGATTCAGAAAACAGATGGCGATTGCAACATCAGCGCTGTTGTGTGAGTAACAAGTTGTATGTCCTTCATTGTTGGCACTTAGCGAGCATTCTGATACATTGTTGAAACTTCCCACGATAATAAGTTGGCAAAACTAATGGAAAAAGAAACAACCTGCTACTGAGCATATGATCCTTCCAAGCTCAGAGCAGAACGTTTAAATAACTGGCGTCTCTGAATGCTAATAAAACCTGTTCAGTAAGCTTGATGATCTTAAATAATAATACTAATGTGTGCAGGTTTCTGATAAAGAAGAAGCCGACACATAAAAAACAGTGGACTCGCTGCACCAATCCGGATGACATCTGGGTCCAGGAGCTGATGCTGTCTGTGAATATGAGAAACCAGAATTTGGTAAAAAGTTACACAACACACTCTCACAATGATAAACTTGAATTTCCTGCAGAGAAACTAAATGAACGCGAGAGTGTACATCTTCACTATGAAACCTTTGTCTCCGTAGGCCACTTAAAGGAGAGAAACAAGAAAGGAATGGGCGAGAGGAAAGCAGATGTTTCTCCGATTTCAGGCATCATATATCACCTTTGACCACATGGATTGTGTTTCAGTAGGTATTTCATGTGCTGACAGAGAATGTAAATGTGCACGGTTCGCTATAACACGAACACATACCCTCAATGTTATTTCCATATAGCCATATATAATTCATTTATATGAGCCATCGCTATGATTGTTAATTTCTCTGTGATATGTAACGCCTGCTAGGAATGAGCCACTGTTTAGCAGCTTTGAAATGTATTTGCAGAGTGTGTTTGTGCGCATTTGTTTGTGTGTGATGTATATGTAAAAAAGCTGAATGTTTTTTGTACGACAGATTTCCATATTTTTATATTAGCATTACAATACTATTTGTGTCCTTCTGTGTCAAATAAAGAGGCAATACAAACCAGACTCTGGTTTTCTATATTAGTTTATGATGAATCAGGAAACACCAAGATGTTTTACATCAGTTCTGACCTGATTTGGTGATGCAATGGTTGATTTTGGGGGATAAAAATGCACCATTCCTCCCTGATGAGATCTTAACTGGATATCCATGAAAGCAGGCACAGATTTGATCCAGTAATCTCTCAGAGTCTGCATTTGGCATGAGCTTCAACCAATAATTATCTACATGAGCCATCCGCTCACACTATAAAACTTGGCTCACAGGACAGTTGGCCTTAAAAGCTGTTTTTCATTGGCTTGATGACAACGATGGTAAAGCATTGACACTGAAGTTAAAGATCTACCATGTCTGTTAAGATTCTCAGCCATGCAGATTAGAAGAAGAAGTCCAGTCTGTATTTAAACAATGCTCAGGCTCCGATGTGTACATTGAAACAGGTTTCGTGTTGTGTAATCATTTCATCTTGTTTATACTGGTTCTGAAGTGATCCCTTCATAATGAGCTTCAATCCAATTGATCTACAGTCTTCATTTAGTGCAAAGATGTATTTCAAAGTTTATACAAAGTTAGGCTTCCGTTGGACCACTGTTGCTTCCAAGTTCCCATCAATAACAGTGCACACAGCACACTAACAGATGGCAGCTTCATTATATTTTGCCTTAAGAATAAATACTGTACTTCTATTCTGGAATGTTACCTGGCCAGGTTCATTTGTTGTAGGTTGATGGAATAGCTTTGTTTCGGCAAATTTACCATGAGAACATAAAATAAACTAAACACGAGAAAGACACAAGGTTACGTAAAAAGTTAGGACCCAGTTGACGTTGAGTAAGTAATTGTATTAACAAAAAGCAGCTGACACACAGTAAACCTGGATTTGTTTGGGGTCCCTGGGCAGTTGCCCATTTTCCCAGTTGGTAATCCAGCCTTAGAAGTTGAAGGATATTTGGTTCGTGGTTAAGTCTTGTAAATGTTTCCCTACTCAGCAGAGACCACGCTCATTTGCCAGTATAGATTGATGAACTGTGCAATGTCCTAAAACGTCAACAAGTTAAAGGCATCATGGCGGCCTAGAGGCCAAGACATGTACCATCTAAACCACAATGTCCCCGGTGCAAATCCAGCTGGGGGCCTTTGCTGCGGTTCACCACTTTTCCCTCCTCCTATGCTTCCTGTTTATTTCTCGACTAAATAATAAGCAAAACACGCATGAACACTTAAGCTGTGTCAGTATGTACTACGTTCCATTCATAGTTCTGTTTTTGCAGTTAGTATACAGCAAAATCAACATACTTTATCCTTTTGTGCCAAAAGGAAATCACATGCGCTAAGACACATCTGTCAAACTGCAGCTTTGAAGATTCTGCTAATTAAACTTCATAAACAAACGGCAACAATGTTCTCACAAAGATGTTGTTTGTTTTCTGAGGCATTGTTTCTGCTGTTACTTTTAACATCCTCCTGCTGTGAGAAGCGCCTCCATTGCCTTTTCTGCATTGTATTGCGAGACAAGCATTTCTTCCGATGATTAGTCCGAAAGGCAATCTGCCATGTTAGCGTATTACCCAACATTAGTGTACAATCACAATCTGGGACTGCGTTTAGAAAATCTGACCTCTCAAACGTTGATCAGACCTGATTCAATTTAATTTCATACATGCTTTTTCTTTTAACAGCCGAAAAAATGCCTCAATTATATTTGATGTGGGGGTTGCCCACACTCCCTCCAGTTTGTGATTGTAAATGTAAGTGGCCGTAGATCAGAAGTTTATTTGTCTAGCAGGCTGAAATCCTGCAGATATTATGTCATCTCTCAGTTCGGCTACATTCATCCTAATGTACGGTTCAGCTACATATTTCAGCGTTAGAGTAATCGAGCTCTGGTCTCTCTCACAGTGGGCACGGTCCAGAACAAGAAACCAGACCTAGCCAGAGAAAACAAAAAGCCGGTGTAGACGGTTGTCCTTGTTTTTCACTCTGTGAAGCATTAACAAAGCACTAACCACTTACCAGGGTGTCACAGTTGACCCTCTTTTGGATTCAGATTTCTGATGTGAAAATAGTTGATGTGGACTGAAGTGGAGTGCAGCCCTGAAGCTGTTTCGTTCTTTCTCACTTCTGGCTCAGTTCGTAAAACCTTTTATACAATTCCTTGCTACATGAGAGACGTGTTAGAACTCGCTCCAATTGTACCCCAATTAAAGATATTCACGCTTTCGTGCCTTTCTCTTGAACATTACAGTGTCTTTTAAAACCCACAGTTATTGATTGCAAACACTATAAACCTAGACTGGTCACGCATTGATAAATGTACATAAAAAGGACCAAACGTAGTGGGTCAGTAACTACTGACTAAAATCGACATTTTGATTTTACTCTCCTTAATAGTTTTGGGTAAGAGTGAAACTCTTTGCAGCAAAATTCATCCACTGGTGCTCAGGTTCAAGAGGGTAAGTAGGGAGGTAAACCGCTAACTATCCTACAGGGTGGATATAATGATAGAAGCACATGTACTTTATTGTAATACATTTTAAGAGACCTCCATTCCCTTTTTATATTTCCTGTTGCACTCTCCCGTAGTTGAAAAGGAAATTGTCTATGTGAGGCAAAGTGGTTACTCTTTCGCAACCTTCTCAAATGTGCTTTTGTACAATAGATTTGTCATTCATCCAGAGCTCAAGACAAGTCTTTCACTGCCAAATGCAATCATAAACAAACACCGACTTGTTTTACAGGGTTGACGTCTCGGCTCCCCATGAAAATCCCAGAGGGTAAGGAAAGGTACACAAACAACGAACATAGTTTATATGAACGTGAAAGAAAAGATGCTTATTAAACTTATTTTCACTCATAACTTTTTAATTTTAGTCACATTTGTTACTGGATCAAACACAGTATTGTATGAAATCATGATATGAGATCTTTTCTGAAATCTTTTGTGGCATTTATGAGTTGTTAAGAGACAATAAACATTAGATTTTAAACTGATTAAACAATCATTATTCCCCAATAAATTAAACTTCTGAGTGACGTTAAAATCAGGAATGTCATTTTCTGATTTTCGTTCAAAGATTTTAAAATCTGTTCCGTTTTGGTATAGGCTTTTTATACTAAGCTAAAGGCAAGCTTCTCTCGATGTTTAATAAACCATCATGTCATTCTCGCCCACCTTTGATCACGTCAAAGTGAATGATTTACTCTGGTTTAAAACAACTTACTCTCTCTCGATGCATCAGTTCAGCCCATGCAACCTGGTGAAACAGGAGCTGCAGAAAGATACTGTTGGTTGTTTAACTTTCATTCTCTGTCACAACGAACATTATTCACAGTTGCATGATAGTGATTTTCACACGAGTCATATTGAGCAAGAGCAGGCTTTCTAGATAAACAGCAAGTCAAGACTCCTTATTGGCACTCAAAGGGGCCTTGGTAATCCTGCCAGCACAATGTGTAGACACACCTGTGGGAAATGGCTGCGGGCTGCAGGTTCAACACTTTATTGGAAAATGTGACGCTCATCATAGTGTCAATCACTAATCAGAATTAATGTGCATGTAGACACTGGCAGAATTGGCGCTAAATTGCGAGGTGACAGTAATAGGGAAGGAGTGATGCCTGGCTCCCTTTGAGGGGAATTCACAACTTGAAAAGAACTCACAGCTTAATGCTTCATAACTCTCTAGAGTTCACAAATGCATCATATTTCACTATCAGCACTTTTACAGAAAGTACTTGAGATGGCTCCAAAATCAGTTCCTGCAAACTGGCTGAAAGGTCAATGTTTCTTTAAACTTCAGGGCTTATAAGGAAGCCTGAAACTTTCAAGATCTCAGTAGAAATCTCTCTGTAAATAGATGAAATCCTGGCTGGAGTCGAGCATACAGCAGAAAAACACATTCATATTATCCTGCCTGGAAGGAAAGATGAGGAGATTTAAGAAGAATATTTAAGAGTCATTGTTTGACAATACTGTTATTTTGGTTAATGAATTTAGCCTTATTCGTTGCTGTAATTGTTAATACAGAGTAAAATGAAGTTCAGGCAGTGCTCATGAAGCATTTATACAAGTATTCCCTTAAAAGCATAAGCAAACATTAGCACACTACTTAATATCGATGTTCATAAAATAATATTAAAATTGCGCAATATGTAAAACGATCTGTGTGGTCCAGACTTTTTGTGACAATCATGAAAATATGACTAGTGTTTATAATATATATACACATGTTATAATATAACAAGCACTTTTTATAAATTAAGGCATTTTAGGCATCTGTTTTTGTCTGAAACAAAAAAGCACATTTAGGTTTGCTGCAGACTGTTTTTACATTTTGTCTTTTGTGCCGGCCTCAGGTGGTCCTAATTTTGTTCTTTGCCTGACGTAACCTTTTCCCAGGACATTATTCCAGAGTCTCAGGTTTCATTTCTGTTACCTAAGCATGTTCGCACTCTCTATTTTATTAGGATTACCTGTAGCCTTGGATTAGTTCAGTAGATGTACTGACGAAGATGGATTGAAAGATGCTGATGGCCATACAGTGATTGATGAATGTCGTGCGTCAGTAAGCTTTTGTTGGTGATGTAATGATCAGAACAAAAAGCCATAGCAGATTACATAAGAGAGGCGCCCTAGTCCATAAGCTATAATTGACTTACACTGTGGGACAGAAGAACCCTCCGACTCAGACCTCAACCTCCATTTGTTTGCCATTTCAGTCCAGCATTGCACAACTGAGAAAAGTATTTCTCAACATGCACCCAAACGTCTCGCAAATTAAGGGACCCTGAATTGGACACATGCGTTTGTGATGAAGTGCCACAACTAAAGTAAGTCCAGTTCAGTTAATTCTCTTTACAGTACAACACAAACAGCCGTGGGATCGTGTTTGTCCACAGGTGCTACAGTCCACTTCTTGGGACTCCCATACTCATCAGGGTAAAGCGCTGAATAACCCACTGCCTCCACTGTCCTCCTCTTCTGGACCCGATGGAGAAGGATCCGGTAGGTCCCCGTCAAGGGGCTCCTAGAGTCCAAGCAGGGATTGTTTTGGAAATGGACTGTCGTAATACCCAGATCTGACAGCAAAGCCTTCACCTCCTGCTCCTCCACACACAGAGCCTGGTTGGTCTGGGCAAAGTGTGCCGGGGACAGGGGCAACAAGACATACGGACGAGGGTACTCAATCCCAATCAGCCAAGCACTGTTTGTAATCTGTGTGAGAGACGAGCGATCAACAGGCACAGGCCGCAGTATGCCCTTAATCACCAGCTGGCATGGATTGGGCACATAAGATGGGATACTGTAGGCCCCCTGAAGGATGCAGCGCTTCAACCTCCCAAGTTTGTCCCCATAAAAGGGCATAGTGCCCGTCACCATGAAGTACAAAAGAATACCTAAGGCCCAGGTGTCTGAATAGCATCCAACGTAGCCTTTATCCAGAAACAGTTCAGGTGCAGCGTATGGTGGTGAGCCGCAGAAGTTGGTGAGGAGATCGTCGGGGCCTTTCTCTGTGCTGAAGCCAAAATCTCCGACCTTGATGCAGAAGCTGGTGGTGTAGAAGATGTTCTCCGCCTTTAGGTCTCTGTGGACAATGTTGTTGTCATGCTGAAATATTACCAAAACAAAAGAGAAAAATCTCAGTAAGGGTTCCGTTTTGACATTTTAAATGGATTTTTAGGGATATAAAGTGTTATCATGAAAAACAATAATAACTTAAATGCTCCTTCAATGTTATTTCTTGTAATGTTGCACTTTTGTTAACTCCACTATATTTATCTGACAGTTATAGTTCAAAATATTTGTAAAATTAATATTTAAAATAAAAAAATATGAACATAACATATACATCTGAAACTTGGCCCCAACCATGGCTCCCTAAACTTCTCCCATGGTTTCACCTAAATGATGAAAGAGGTAAAATTATCCAATATTTCACAATAAAAGCAAAAAGACAATTATCAGTCTATATAACACTGCCATGTCACTCACAGGGGCCATTTTTCTGCATCATGAGGACATTTACTTTTGATCATTCAAGTACAATTTGCTGAAAATACTTTAGATTTTAACATTGTATTTTCAAACTGTTCTAGTACGTTTACTTTCGTAGAGTATCTGTGTAGCTTTTCTAACAGCGATTATCATTATTATTAACACTACTGAATCTTAGATGGTTATGTTTTTTGTTAAGATATAAAAGTCCACTCTTATGGGGCATTAAGGGGCTTAAGATGCTGATCACAACATCCCTAGTTGAAGACTGACAGAGAAACATTTGTTGCATGTAATCTCCCTTCATTTCCTGTCAGCTCTTTACAGGCCACTATGAAAATAAAGGCAGAAATAGCCTCCAAAAATATCTAAATAAGCATATATGCATGCCAATAAACTTCAGATAAATATGGTGAAAACATAACAGATTGAGCCTTTAAAACAATTTGACAAACTCAACTCTAATTCAGGCTGGAATGACTCAATCATATGAATCATGAATACCTCAAAGACCCAGGGATATGAGGCACAGACTGAGCACAGCGCTGTGCAGTAGATGGTGACCACTGTAAGACTGACATTGAAGCTCACCATGTGTTTAACAGCAGAGAGGACTTGTGCAAAGACCAGCTTGGCTTCCAGGTCGTTAAGCTTCCCCCTGGTGGTGATTCGGGAGAACAGGTCTCCACTGCTGCCGTACTCCATCACCAGATAGAGCTTCCTGCTGGTCTCCATCACCTCGTACAGCCGCACTATGTTGGGGTGGCACAGCTTCTCCATGCAGCTGATCTCTGAGGAAGTCATCGGCTGGCTCCTCTTGTCCATACGCAGCTTATCCATGATTTTAATAGCAACTCTCTCTGAGACAGAAGAGGGGGGGGGGGGGGGGGGGGGGGGGGGTTGGTGGGAAGAGAAGAGGGAGGAGGGCGAA